CTTGCTGGGCTATGTCTCTACCAGCTCCACCCCTGACATCGCATATGACATCAGATGTACGGCAGATGGGCATGCTTTGGGGAAACAGCCTTGTATACCAAATGGGAAGGCCCAAGCTTCTCATCTTAAACTATTGAAATGACCATTTGCTTCCTACTGCCAGGCTTTCTTTGTACTGCATAGCTTCATGGGAGCATTGAGCAAATACTTACATAAACATGGAGTGATAGGAAGCTCCATAAGCGATTCAAGATGACCTGTGGAAACACCTGGAAAAACCTGGAACACCCCCTAGAACCCTCTTGCAATGTTCAGGGAGGGGTACTTCAGCAGCTGAGCTGGAGCTTCTCAAAATAAATCTATATTTCTAGAGATTGGAAGCTTGATATCCTCTTCTGCAGTACATTTGGACCTGTGTACATCAGGTGTGTGTGACTGTTAAATAGTTATGGTTCTATTTAACCATCACCTTCAAGGGGGGGGGGGCAAGCAAACACTATTGCTCAGCGTCACATACCACCCACAGCTTCATATTAAGCCTAAACATAATAAAAGAGCCGGTGCCTTTTGCACAAGGGGTTAGCATCCCATCATATACAGGAATTAAAAGAGGGAGGCAGGCTGATCACAAGCAAGAAAAGCAGGTTTAACTGATGCTTGATATATTTCAGAGATGACTGAGAGATATTCCAAAGTTGTTACTGAGATCAGCCCTTGAAGAATGAAACCATCAGGCACCAATAAACTTTTGTACTTTTGTACTTCTAGAGAAAAGCAGTCCTTTCCTTTTTTCAACATACAGTGGTACCTCGGGTTACATACGCTTCAGGTTACACACTCCGCTAAGCCAGAAATAGTGCTTCAGGTTAAGAACTTTGGTTCAGGATAAGAACAGAAATCGGGCTCCGGCGGCGCGGCGGCAGCAGGAGGCCCCATTAGCTAAAGTGGTGCTTCAGGTTAAGAACAGTTTCAGGTTAAGAACGGACCTCTGGAACGAATTAAGTACTTAACCCGAGGTACCACTGTATTGCGGATTTCAACATATGCCACAAGAACATTTCAGGACCACCCCTGAAGAAAGAAAAGGTGGTAGGCTCAAGATAGGGAAGCTCCAACCGCAATAAATACATTAGTGACATTGTGACCACCACTGAAACAAGTCACAGTTGTTGGCACCATTGCAATGGCGGTGGTGATGTCTGCTATTCACCTGTTTCTGCTGGGGCCTTCTGCATCTCGGGCCTACCATCTGTTTCCTCCTTGGCTACAGTCATGGTAGCAACCACAGCTTCATCCCCAACCACAACTACAGCACCCATGGGAAAACTGGAATAAGAACAGGGTCTCCTCCCGCTGCCTGACCACTTGTGTGATTGAGGATCCCTCTGAGAGGAGGCAGGGATATTGACAGCAGTTCTTGGGCATCTCCTTGCCCTGCTTCTGGGCAGGAACTGATGAGAAAGTGCTTCTCCTCTAGCTTACACCATTGTACTTTACAGGGAAGGACTCCTGGCAGGTCCCAACACACCAGTGTTGTCTACGCCATCTGAGATGTTTGAATTGGTCTTGTCCAAAGAGGCATCAATGCCTCTTTTCCCTACATTTAAATCCATTCTCTCTAAGCATGTGCACTGCAGTTCAAACATATTTTATTGGAAATAAGTCTTGCGAAAGTGAAAGGAGCATACTTTCAAGCAAGCATACTTAGGCTTGCAGCTTTTCTTCACTAAACCACTGAGATTTGGAGATAATAACCCTGGCATATTTGCCAAATCAATAGTATGTATGCTACGAACCATTAAAATGCTTGGAGATGTTATCTGTATAACCATATGCTATTTATTTGATATTGCTACACTTATGTTTATAACTGGGGGCGGGGGGAGGTGCTCACCGTTTTAGCCTTGTCCTAGTTTGACAGCTTTCAAAAAAAATAAAAGGAGTTATTTTCCTCACAGGAAGAAGTGTAATTTGTTATCTTGCCCAAGGGATATCTCTGAATTTGATTCTGATGCACAAAGAAATGTTTTCCCCTTTTTAGTGTGATACATAAGCTGAGGAATACAGATACAACATAAGCTTAACTATTTTTAAAATATGGTCTTGTTTTATGAGTGATGCCACCTTATAGCAGTATTTAGGCTGCAATACTAACATACTTCCAGGGGTGAAAGCCCCATTAAACACAGTGGAACTATCTTCCAAGGAAACAGTATACCTGAAGGAGCATCTCCACCTCCATCATTCAGCCCTGAGGTCCATTTCTGAGGGTTTTCTGACGGTTCCCTCACTGAGAGAAGTAAAGTAACAGGAAACCAGGCAGAGGGCCTTTTCGGCAGTGGCACCCTCCCTGTGGAACGCCCTCCCATCAGATGTCAGCGAGGTAAAGAATTACACAACTTTTAGAAAACATCTGAAAGCAGCCTGTTCAGGGAAGTTTTTAATGTCTGACATATTATTATTTTTTATATTTTGTTGGAAGCAGCTCAGAGTGGCTGGGTAAACCCAGCCAGATGGGCAGGGTATAAACAATAAAATTGTTGTTGTTGTTGCAAAGAAACGAGCTGCTAGTGTTTATATATCTTCAAATTCAGTTCAAAATGATTGGGGTCCTTGTTATTATTATATTGCTTTTATTTATTATGTATTTATTATCGTAGTTTACAGCAGTCCTGCAAGGTAGGCCAGTATTATCATACCCATATTGCTGAAACTGACGGCTTGCTTAATGCATCACAGTGAGTTTATGGAAGACATGATATTTAAATCAAACACTGTTTGGCTCACAGTTCAAGCTTATTCATGTCTACTCAGAAGCAAGACCCACTAAGTTCAATGGGAGTTGGTCCCTGGTAAGTTTGTAGCTTTTGTTATCATTATGCCTATGCAGTCGGTGAGGCTGGCCCAAGACACTTTGCTGCCTGGGGCAAAGGGCAAAATGGCGCCTCTTTTCATTCCACACAAGAAGTCAACTGGACTGACAGCTGAATCTGAACTCAACAATGGTGATAGGATGGTGACTGAGGAAGGAGGTTAGTTTTGGGAGGGAAACATGTCATGTAGCATATTTACAACTTTGTCATCCAGAAGAGAATGGCCAGTTGGCTTAGAAAGAACAAGGGGTCTGATGCTCTTCCTCCTCTATAGCACCTGCCACCTGTCTCACTTGGCCTAATGATAGGGCCGGACCAGGGTACATTTCCAGAGAGAACTTGTGTTTTCATATGGCCTCAGGCAGTTGAAGACAGTTTCTTCACAACAATTAATTCACTGCAATACACCTTTACATCACAACCAGGCTTTGAAATTCCATTATTAACACGCTTGTCATATGGATGTGAGGAATTTGTTGGTTGGGCATAAGAAATGAAAGCAATTTGTCTCAGGATGTTCCCATGCAAAGATATTTGCTGCATTAGAAACAAATGAGAGAAAAGTATCATTATTGTAAGAAGAAAACTATTATAAATTGTAAAATCAACATGCCTTTTATTTGTTGAGTGAAGGACAGAGTCATGTAACCCCATCGCAGCACCTACATGTATTCACATGAGTGCAAAACCTTTTATTCAGACAGGAAATGCAGGGAAGTCCTCTTTCAGTACTGGCAAGCTAGAAGGACATCTGCATTAGGATGCAAGATTGACATGAGATTTTGAGTGGTACAGGTGCATTGAGAATCAGATTGCACCTGTCAATGTACCTAGGAGAGTTTTATCTTTCTCAGAATTGCCTGCTCTTTGAAATTTAAATCAGTGTGCTTACATTTCCTCCTCAGACGTACTGAGCATATCAGTTCTCGCTTCTGTCTTCAGGAAGAGGTCTCATAATCCCTGAAAATGATTGAGATACTCTTCTTTGTTTAGTGTACATTATTTAAAGTTTTGATTTACTTAAACTATTAGTATATACCATCTTCCACTGAAATTGGTTCTAGGGGGGTTTGCACTAATAAAACAGCAAAGCTCTGTGATCAAACAGACCAGCAGGGTAAGCAGGCAATCTGTAAGATTTAAAAATGCCTAAACGTAAAAAGTCGGGAAGAGCCTTCCCTGTCCTTGAGACTCAACCCCAATCAGTCTTGACCATTCACTATGCTGGCTGGGGATGTTGGGGTTGGATATTGTCTAAGAACATTTGAGACCCAACATTGGGGAAGATAAAGCAAAATAATAATATATATATATTTTAATTACTTGGTGCCTAATGGATAGCAATGTTAGTGCTAGGTAAGACTGCCTGAGGAATATATTCTATCGAAGCCCCCCCCCCAGCCTTTTCACTCACTTCACTTCTAACAAAGGAGGAACAGAGAGAAGTTCCTCACATAATAATCTGAGAGTATAGGTACAGTAGGTACCTACCTCCCAAACTGATTAAGGCATTCAAAGTCAATGCAAGCACTTTTGACTGGGATTAGAAGCAAGCAGGCAGCTAGTGAAGCTATTTTAACGCTGGTGCAATATGATCCCAAATGGGCTGTGCCAGGAAAAGTCCTGGCATATGTATTCTGTACTAGCTGAAGCTTCCAAACCATCTTCAAAAGCAAGCCCACATATAACACTGTATGCAAGTCCAATCAGGAGATCATCAGGGCATAGATGACTGTCACAGAACCAAGAGAGAGAACTCCATTTTGACTCCATAAGCCCCTGAGCGAATGTCAATGTTATTAGCCCCAGAGAAGGGGAATCCTTTCCAAAATACACCAGACATCAATAAAATTTGGCACTTTTTGAGAAAAAGCAAGCTGCTTTCTTTCTTGTGTTTGTGGTGATCAACGTGCCTTCCCTCTGTTTCCCCATAAATGACTGTGGCCAAATGATCCCTGTTCAGCAGAGGCAGCAGCTGGCAAACCAGCCAAAGCTGATAAAAAGCACTTTAGTGACAAAGCTAGATCCTCCAACCTGATCTATCAGGGGAATTACAACTCCATTCTGTAGAGGTTGAATGCCTTCGCTCTAAAATCTGGAGCTACTATCTGTCCACAGTGCCTCCACATTATCTGGACTGAAATTCAGGTTTTTTTATCCTCATCCTGCTGATCTCCGATTACAGACTCAAGGTACTGCCCACCAGGTGAGACCTCTGACTGGCCCATTTGAAGGTGGCATTCAGGTGGGAAGTCCTGCCTTGAGATCACACAGCCATGGGTATTCCTAAACAGCCCACAAGCATGTGAGAGCTGTCTGCTGGGATGCTGGTGGAATGCGAGGGGCCACAACTGCTGCCCACCTGGAAAAGGTGAACGTCCATTCCAGACTCAAATGACATGGAAAATAAAGCTCAGTGTTGTCAGAGTCCTGATGCCATCTCACTGGAAAGCCTTGGATTGACCACACCTAGCAGCTTCATTTACATATTTAAATGAGAGAATAAGATGGGATCTTGTGGGATCAATAGTACAAATGCTAAGGGATTAAGGATGTCATCCTAGACAACTCTCTGGAACTGGCCTGAAGTAAGAGCACTCCCCACTTTCAAAGGTCAAGAAGTCAAGAAGAACCAACAGGGTCTTTCCTTGGCATAGAAGATGGAAGTCTGAATGACTAGAAGGCTCACTGGCCAAGGATAACCTCAGGCTGCACTAGATCTCTGAAGTTCTCCTGAGGTTTTCCAGATAATCTTCCCCGGGAATAAAATTCACAACCTCGCTCTGTCCTCTGCATCATGAACTTTGTTGGAGCTATAGGCAGGACAACTAAGGTAGATCTGAACCATGTACAATTCCAGAGTGTTTTCCAGAACATTTCCAGAAAGTGTGAGTAGAACTGCTTTCAACAAGCCAAGAAGGGCAGAGAATGCTCTTGCTATTACAGTGGTACCTCTGGTTACAAACTTAATTCGTTCCGGAGGTCCATTCTTAACGTGAAACCGTTCTTAACCTGAGGTACCACTTTAGCTAATGGGGCCTCCTGCTGCCGCCGCTGCGCAATTTCTGTTCTCATCCTGAGGTAAAGTTCTTAACCCGAGGTACTACTTCCGGGTTAGCGGAGTCAGTAACCCAAAGTGTTTGTAACCCGAGGTGTTTGTAACTCGAGGTACCACTGTATTGATCTTCTGTGAGTCTGTGAATTTGTAAAATGAAAAGTTTAGGCTCTGTGCTTATCTGGACATAACTCTACATCCTTCCCCAAACCTGAAAGATATTCTCCCAAATTTCGGACATAACAGAAATTGATAATGATTAGTCTGTCATGATGAAATTTACACATGAACAGAGATTATAGCTTCACATTTTCAGAACTTAGCTATGTATTTCAAATATGGGTTGAAACGTTAATTTTTATTTTTGTCTATTGTTGGAATACTTTTAATTTAGAGGAAGAATCAACTATTCATTGATAATAGTTAAATTTATTTTTGTAATGAGGAAAACTACATGCAACTGGAAGCAAGTTTTCCTCACATTTTAACATTTTTGTGTTTAGATTTTGGCAACAAATGTGTAGGTGTTAACAATACATGAGTTCAAAAACGTATGTTATTTGGTGTGGCTTAATTTCTAAATTGCTTGTCTGAAAATGATACTCGGGACCTCTTAATATGGCAGCTCTTTCCCTGATCATAATTGAAGTATTATTATTATTATTATTATTAGAGTGGAAGAGACTTTGTGCATGTGTAATGACACACTTTCCTAAATAAGTACCGTACAAGACCTATTGTGCTGAAAATACCAAAGTTAATAATTGCAGCCAAGTCAAAATGTTACCAGCCATCCCAGCTATAGGCCTTTAGTCCACATGCTTCTCCACTGATTCCTGGATATTCTAAACCTACTTTACTCTCAAGGGAAGCTGCCCAAAAGCTGGAGAGAGTTTCCTTGTCAAAAAACATTTTGAAAAATAGGAGGTACAAATGTCTTACCCATGAACCCACGTTTCATGCCCATAATAAAGCTCAAGGTTTCTAGTTTCACTTGAGTTACAGATATGCCTAGGGCTTAGGCACCAATTATTCAGAGAAAAGTAACTGACCAAGCTTCCAAGAAAAGGGAGGGAGCAAAATGGGAAATAATTCATTATTCTATTCACACTACTAGGGAATAGGAAGGAGTGTTTGATTACACGGCTTCTTTCATGACCAAACTAGCTTTGGCATGTGAGACTTTTGCGATTCAATTCACGAGGGAAAAAGATTTCCTCTTCAAGCACATTCAGAAATTCAAGATTCTTAATTCTTCTCCGGATAGTGCATTTCTTCACGAACAGTGAGATGGTGGCTCAAAGACTAATGCATTCTAACTGCCTGTCTCCTGCCCTAAATAAACCCTCCTAGATTTAATGCACAAGAGAATTAAAAGCAATGAAATGAAATCATATAGATAGTTAAACCTGCACTAAAGAGATTCTGAAGATACAGCCTTATCTGAGGTATTATTTTGCTGGTTCTTCAGGTTTTTCCCTTCTGAACTGAAAGGTGATTTTTGATGCTCAACCAAAGTGTTCAGCAGCAAAATGGCCTTTATTTGTTAGATAAAGATAGAGGTTTTGTTGAACTTCAGCATTTCAGTGTTCAGTCAACCCTGTCTCAAAGATCTGAAGGAAGGCAACCAGTGCTTGGGGAAAAACCACATTAAATATTAAATGGTCCAAATATTGCACACACCATTTATTTTAGTTGTGACTGTATTAATAATTCTTCATCCCGACAATGAAATAAATTGTCATTTTTCACTTGAAGTTCAATTTCTTTCATTGTGATAGACAGTAATGTTGCACTCTAAATCCTCTCAGCCTTTACTCCATAATAAGAAAACACATGTAAAAGAGGGAAATAACCTACTTCCAGTGTTTTCTTATTCCCCATAACCATTTGTTGGCGTTTGTATATTTAATTTCCTTTGTGGTTTAAAAATTTGCTCCCTTTGATGCTAAGGATTTGACAGATTAATAACCTCAAATTGTTTAACACTCTCCCATCTTTTTTTTTTTATCTCACCAGCTGTAATTTAATCTTTGATATTTAGTATACACCTGAGACTTTGTGAGGGCATGTTCAACTGTGAATCATTTGCAATAACTCTCTTGTACGCCAATGCGCTGAGCAGATTTTCTCCCACACCCCAGAGAATTATAACCTTGTTGAATTTCTGCACAGCAACATTATGTATATGATTTATTTATTTATTTTCACAATTGGCCTCTATTAGGCAAATAGCACATAATTTGCCAGATTCAAATATAATCCATCTAATTTGCCCTCAGCTTTCAGGCTATAAAAGAGCTACTTGTCGAGTCATCTTGTCAACCAAAAGCAAGCTTCTCTAAGTGCTTTGGGAAAAGGTAGCAGAGGATGGAAAATTAGTGAGAATAAATTCCTGGTCCACAGTTTGGACAAAAAAAACACCTCTGTCAGAGACCCAGGAGAGCTGTTGCCCATTCAATATAGTCTGAGCTCATATAAGGCAGCTTCCTATGCTTGATGCTCCATGAATGTCGTTAATGCCAAACTGCACACTGCATGTAACAGCTTTGGAAGGGAGTTCAGACTGGAGAAGTAGTTGAGGAGAGACTTGTTGATTCTTTTGTGAAATACAAAAATGGGCATGGAGATGCTGGTGGAATGGATCTGAAAAATTCCTGCTAACTGTTGTTTACTCAGTTTGCTGTTGTTTCTTCTGCGTACTGCACACTTTCCCAAGCCATTCAGAGTGAGGGCCGTGGAAGGACTCTGCAGTGACATTGTAACTGAAGGCAAATAGAGCTGTCTCACTCTGAATGTGTGGCAATTTTGCTCTTAGTCTTGCCCTGCTGCACTGGTGGTGTATGGTGAATGTGTGTCCTCCCATTCCTGCTCTGTCTGAACTTATCAACTGTCCACAACTTGGTCCAAGCAGAGGAGCACTAGCTCCGTTGACTCAGATGCCAGGATGTGTTTTTTCTTCTTCTATTTCCTCGCACCTAGAGCCTTTTGAACATGGCAGCACCCTTTCACAAAGGGTTGCACAAAGGGTGGGCATGTTCTATGGTCATGAGATTCTATGTTGTGCCCACTATTTCTGCTCAGCGTTAAGAAGCCCTAAATGTGTGTGTGTGGTTCAGCGTGATTCATATCTGCTCAGGCAGCGAGGCTTCTCCTTACTTTTTTCCCCACTGCACCCACTTGTATGCCCCCTAAAATGTTCTCTGTGGGGTTGGGGAACCCACCAGAGCAGATCTAGCAGTTACACATAGAAGGCTTTTCTCCTACTCTAGGCTACTTGGAATGGATGTTAGATGATCTCTATTATAATTTTAGCTTTATGTTTTATTTTAATTGTTATCCAGTTTACTGAATTTTATTTATTGCTTTAAAAATTATCCTGAGAGCATTGCTGAGCATAGCCTCTTTGTGTACAAAAAGCAATGGGGCAGAGTGAGCTGATTCCTGGCAGGAAAACAACATAGAAGGGGAAATGGTTATTACACAAAAATGCTTCCCATGACCCTGATTTTGCCCCAAATGAATGGACACTACTTCTTTTTTTTTATATAAGATATTTATTAAGCTTTTTTAAAGTATTACAATAAAAATGAAAAAAAATAACAAAAATACAAAATAAAAATAATTAAAAACACACAGATTTCCCATTACTTGTTTTCCTTTAGCTTGTTTCCCGGACCTCCTCATACCTCCCTTTTTTGTATTCCAGTTCAATTTGTTGGTTCAGCAAATCCTTACCCTCTTTATTTATCCTAATCTTTAGTCTTAAAATAGTAACGTTAAATTTTTACCTATTAACAACCCATTTTTCATAATCCCTTAAAGCATTACAGCTGGAAACCACTTAATTTCTATCCAACATCATTCTAACATTCATTAATTTTACAATAATTCTGTAGATAGTCTTTGAATTTCTTCCAATCTTCTTCCACCGACTCTTCTCCCTGGTCTCGGATTCTGCCAGTCATTTCTGCCAGTTCCATATAGTCCATCAACTTCATCTGCCATTCTTCCAGAGTGGGTAGGTCTTGTGTCTTCCAATACTTTGCAATGAGTATTCTTGCTGCTGTTGTGGCATACATAAAAAAGGTTCTATCCTTCTTTGGCACCAATTGGCCGACTATGCCCAGGAGAAAGGCCTCTGGTTTCTTCAAGAAGGTATATTTAAATACCTTTTTCAGTTCATTATATATCATTTCCCAGAAAGCCTTAATCCTTGGGCACGTCCACCAAAGGTGAAAGAATGTACCTTCAGTTTCTTTACATTTCCAACATTTGTTATCGGGCAAGTGATAAATTTTTGCAAGCTTGACTGGGGTCATGTACCACTTGTATATCATTTTCATAATATTCTCTCTTAAAGCATTACATGCCGTAAACTTCATACCTGTGGTCCACAACTGTTCCCAGTCAGCAAACATAATGTTATGTCCAAAATCTTGTGCCCATTTAATCATAGCAGATTTCACCGTTTCATCCTGAGTATTCCATTTCAACAGCAAGTTATACATCTTTGACAAAATCTTAGTTTTGGGTTCTAACAGTTCTGTTTCTAATTTTGATTTTTCCACCTGGAAGCCAATTTTCTTGTCCAAATTATATGCCTCCATTATCTGATAATAATGAAGCCAGTCTTGCACTTTATTTTTTAGTTTCTCAAAACTCTGCAGTTTCAGTCTATCTCCATCTTGTTCCAAAATTTCCCAATATTTCAGCCAATTGGCCTCCATATTGAGCCTTTTCAGAGCTTTCGCTTCCATCGGTGACAGCCACCTTGGGGTTTTGTTTTCCAATAAATCCTTGTATCTTATCCAAACATTAAACAATGCTTTCCTGACAATATGGTTTTTAAATGCTTTATGCGCTTTGACCTTGTCATACCACAGATATGCATGCCATCCAAATACATTGTTAAAACCTTCTAGGTCCAAAATCTCTGTGTTTTCAAGAAGTAGCCATTCTTTCAACCAGCAAAAAGCTGCTGATTCATAGTAAAGTTTAAAGTCTGGCAGGGCAAATCCACCCCTTTCCTTTGCATCAGTTAATATCTTAAATTTTATTCTGGGCTTCTTGCCCTGCCAGACAAATCTAGAAATATCTCTCTGAATGGACACTACTTCTTGCCATCAAAGTTATTATGATGGTGATGGTGAATAATTCCCTTTTGCATATTTGTCTCACTGTGATTTACAGACATATCCTAAAAACAGCTAATATGGTTTTAAAATCAACAACTGAAGTTAATACAGAATGGATACCTAAGGCAGGGACCTTTTCATCCAGCTGGAAAAGCTTGTCAAAGCTAGAGCTACTTCAGCTGTTTTTGGAAAGTGCAGATGGGGGCACCTCTCATATATCACAGGAATGCTCTTTCACAGAACAGGGCAGCCACATTGAAAGCCCTGCCCCATGCAGAGTGGGTTTCTGATATTGGCGGGACTTTCAGGAGAAACTTTAAGGATTTTACTATAGGAAAAGGCTTGGTATGAGAAACCTACGTAGGCCATTTGTGTCGTGAGCAAATGATCTATGAGCTCCCTTTGACCAAGTTCCTATGGAAAATGCTGCTGACCAAGTCAAAATGTTAGAGCATCAGAGCCAAACATTAGTCAGATCAGATCAATCCTGGCAGTGCTGAGCTTCTTATCTTCGTACAGTGCCCTGGGATAAGCCCCACACCATAGAGGGACTTACATCTAAGTAAACGGGTGCTACAATACCCTAAACTCTAAAAACATTAATTAGCAGTTATATAGAAAAATGCATGTTGCAGAGTCCAGAAGATTAATTACACCAGAAACCCCAAAATGTCTTACAGGTAGACTGTCAAAAATAATGAGCACAAGATTCAAAATGTATGATTAAATTGTTCCGCAAATGAACAGAATACTTAATTTCTTTCAGTTACATAAGCATTTAAATAATCTATTTAGTCACCCTTGTTACATATTAATTCACTATTGGTCAGACCTTAAGCAAGCTATTACATGAGGGTCATTCGAAATGCTGTTCTGATTAGTTAGTCCGCCTCCGCCTGCCATGTAGGCAAGTTAAGGCTTGTATGAATTTGTCAGAATCATCTTAACTTCATTCTATTTGTCAGGCATAGGAACTCTTTATTTGCCTCATTTTTTTCTTAAAGCATTTCTACACTTGTCTGTTACATTTCCATTTCCATGGAAGCCTCGCCATATTTAAAAGCCATAACCAAACCTATATAGATATATAGGTTTCCACGCTTCTTGCAGGGGTTTTGTTTTGTTTAGTTTGTTTTTAAAAAGATTTTAACTTACAAAATTGCATTTCCCTTTATGCACCTTTATGGTCTTCTGCGATGAAGTCACAGTGCTGACATCATCTTACTGTGAAAATTGCATTGCTGATCAGAAGCAACCCTTGTCAGACTCATACTCAAAGTAAATTTTAAAAGCCCTCTCATTCTTGAAAAGTAATCCAATGAATGGACTCAGAAATGATGTGAGATGAACAAATTATGAAGATCATTTCATTTTCAGTATAGGTTTGCATGCATTTGTTCTGCCTCTGGTACTTATCATGGAGGAATCATTGCTTCCAATGGAAGACTTCCTTTCCCTCCCTTCTGGGGACACATTCCAGTAAAAATTAAGCATCTTTAAGGTTTCAGACTAGGCACACCAAACTGAAAGTCAGCCCCACTGAAAACTGTTAAGATTTAGTTCTAAATAAACATGTATATAGGTCCAAGATGTAAGTCCCATTTACATTAAGGTCTGTAAAGCTACTATCTACCGTATTTTTCGCTCCATAAGACGCAGGGCAGGCCGAGTCGTCCTCTTATATACCTGCTGGGATTGACAAGGCATCTGACCCTCACCTGAATCTCATAGCTGTCCTGTAGCTGCCTCTGATTAGTTATCATTTAACTCTTGGGGGAAATAATTAGCATCACACGCCATGTGCATTGAAGTTGCCAAACCAATTAACCAACTAGAAGGATTACTGTTAATAGCACCAGTTTTCCTGTAACTTGATATTGCCGGATAGTTTTGATGAACTGCAAATGCATTTTTAGTTTGCTTTCTGTTGCCACCCTGGACCTTTTCTTTATTAGTGCCACTTTGTTTTGTACAATTCCTTGCAAATGAAGGAAAACAACTTTTCTGCTTGTATATGTTGATAACATAATTTTGGTTACTGAGGACAAACAAGACTGCACAAAAACAAGATTGGGTGCAGGCCTGGCCAGGACATAGGTGTTGGAGCTGCTGTGAACTTCAAGGTCCCTGCTCTCCCTTCTTATGGTCTTTGTATTGGACCTGGAGACTCCAATAGAGAGCATTCCATGTCAAGAAGGAGGGCAAGTGGGCACTCTATCAAATAACAGGGCAGGAGTTACACAGAGCAGGGCCTTTTCACTGGTGGTGCTCATTATATGCCTTGCTCTTCCCAGACCTGCTCTCTTTTGGCCTGTATTTTGGAGCTTTATAAATTAGGAAGACTTTGGAAGAGCTGATTGATAAGTCTTATCAGCTGCTGTTGTATGAGTGGATTTTATTTGCTGCTGTATCTGCACAGCAGGGGGTGTTCAGTAAACAGGGCAAAGGCTGAGCTGAAGCATTCCCTGCTGGTTACCTGCTTTCAGCAATAGGGGTCACTGTTTGGTAGTACCCAATTGGTTAGCTGTCAGATTCTAGAGCTCCCTATTGGTGGCTCTTAGGTAATTCACAAATACAGAGTCCATTCATAGAACACAATGTTCATTCATAAAGCAGTAACATGCCGGTAATACCCATTTGCCTGGAAGTAAGACCCGCTGAACTCAGTGGAACTGTTTCTGGATAGATAGGCAAAAGAGCTACTCTCCTGTTGAAATTGATGGGATTTGGAAACAACATCTGAGTTGAGTTGTCCCTTTAAATTCTAAGATACTGCCAGTTAACGTCCAGACATTTTAAAGGTTATATTTGTGCCCTCAAAATCTAGAATCATAGAATGGTTTGGCACATTTATTTACAGAGACGAGAGAGATTGTTCTCAAAGCAGGAGACCTGAGGTCCTTCAGAAGTTGCTGCTGTCCGTTGATCATGCCGGCTGGGCAGTGGCGGAGCTTCATGCTCTGGCACCGGGAGCAGAGAGCAGGAGGAGGCGGGGGTGGCGTACATCCCGAAAGCGTGGGCGCATGTCCCAGGGGCGTGGCATGCTGCTTGCAGGGGCGTGGCGCCTGTGGGGGCTGGGTGCCCAGCCGTGATGGCACCCTGGGGATCGTGCTGCCGGGGGCGGTGTGCTCCCCCCGCACTCCTCTTCCTCCGCCAGTGCGGCTGGGCTGTATGGTAGCTGGAGCCCAACAACATCTGGACAAGTTTCCAACGTCTGGTTTAAATCTTTTATAGCACGTCCAGGCTTGAGTTGCTATATGGAAATAAGTTCTTAATGTGAGAATTGTCCTGCTTAGATCTCATCAAAAGCCCCATCTAGTTCAGCATCCTTTTCACACAATCGCCAACCAAATGCCCTTGGGAAGCTTGCAAGCAGGACATTTGTTAGGTAAAGGCTATTTCATTTGTCAGTATGAAGAGGAGGCACAATCAGGCCAGAAATGAATGTACAAATTTCCCTTTATTCCATTTATTAAAATTAATTTTGTAATTAATTGGGATTGAGTGTGGCTATGTATGAATATTTTTAAGGATTGTATGAAATGTATGTTTGTTTGTTTGTATATACGTAACATGTGTGTATTAATGCTGAATTATTTTGATAATAAAAACTTTTTAAAATTAAAAAAAAGGAATTCTTAGCTTATTGAACGTGTACCCAGTCATGAGCTCCCAGGTTCATTGAGAAGATAAAAACATGCTGTAAAATTGGTGAGATATTATCACCACCAGCAATGGCAAATGTATGATCTGCAGGGATGGGTGCACAGCTCTTTTTGAGAGCCCTATTCATTCACCTAAACAGATGGAAATCTATCAAAACTGGTGGCGTATGAGATGGTACTGGTGCTTCTACCTTGGCACTGTGCTCCCTCAGTGAGCAACTTAGGAGCAACCCCTGTTGTGGGCTAGGTAGGAAGAAAGGCTGAGGATATTTTAATTTAATTTATTGACCACCCTTCACCCTAAGATCCCTGGGCGGGTTACAACCATTTAAAATACAGCATAAAATGATTTTAAAAAGCTTGCCATTATGAAAAACACAGTCACACAAAAAATACGGTGTGCTCTGTGTTTTGTGATGACTTTTTTTGTCCCACAATTTTTGGCTGAGCAAAAATACAGGGCGTAAAGCAGAGTTGGAAAAGGACCTGAGAAAAGTTCTGAGGGCAGATACAGAGGCCTGAAGCTCCATATTTGGCTTCTGGGAGTGAGATTGCCCATCTCTTCAGCAGGGAGAGGGACAAACAGCTTTCTTGTATAGGATTCCTTTCAAGGACCCATTTGTGAGTGCTTCAGTGCCTGCAAGTGTACTAGCTCCTTTTGTGAACAACCGCACTAGAGAAACACAAAGGAAGATGATGCTACTTTTCACCTGAAGAGCTAACCGGCTAATTAGAGGGGATCCTTGTAAAAAGGTTGACATAAACGCAGCGCCAGCGGCATTTTATAGCTCATAATGAGCCCATTTTCTTTGTCTGGTGGTCACTGCACACCCTCTACTGACAACATATGTGTTATCTGCCTATGTGCTTACAAAGTAGGAGCAGAAATTAGGGCAAAAACGATAACACTCAATTTACTACGAGGGTGAACAAGATTCTGTAGGCTGGTATTACGTAATGACCTCTCACTGTGCTTTTTTTTAAGCCCCTGCTTCAGCTGCCTGTTTTACAAGTGCCACTGTTTGCTTTCCAAATTACATTTTGGTTTTGGTTTTATTGAGCTAACCACCAGTGGGCTGTGGGCTGTGTGTGCATCATATGCTTTGTATCTATACTGAGGTACACAAAATTGGGAAACTGCTTGACTGGGTGGTTTCTTGCACTCTTCTAATGTTTTATTGAAGAGAGGCTCAAGAGCCAGAATGGACATGATATGTTTCATGCAATTAGTAACTGAGTAAATAGGGTTTTTTTGAAAGTAAATTGCAGGTGCTAAAAACCTGATCAGCATCAGTATCATTATGTGGGGAAAGGGGGCTTTAACTGTTTACTTCCCCCTACAGTTCTGGTCTGCTCTATTCATTGGGGGAAAAGCTCACATCTGTTGCAATGGGAGATTTTTTCCTTCCATTTAAATTGCACGTATGGTGTTCCCAGGCCAGATATGAACTGTAGTCACAGGGAGGGGAGGGGAGGAAGAAGAGTTTGGATTTGATATCCCCCCTTTCACTCTCCTTCAGGAGTCTCAAAGTGGCTAACATTCTCCTTTCCCTTCCTCCCCCACAACAAACACTCTGTGAGGTGAGTGGGGCTGAGAGACTTCAGAGAAGTGTGACTGGCCCAAGGTCACCCAGCAGCTGCATGTGGAGGAGCGGAGAAGCGAACCCGGTTCCCCAGATTACGAAACTACTGCTCTTAGCCACTACACCACACTGGCTCCTAGAGGAGAGGGCACAAATGTTTAAAGTTCCCCTAGTTCATTTTATATGACTTTAGAAATCAACGAAGAACAAAATTTCAGTTTGCCTCTATACCAAAAGCCCAATGAAATGACAAATATATCTTGCTAAAATAAGCAGACAACATTCCTTTCTGCCATCATTTCAACATAAACCTCGAATTACTTTTAATTGCACAAATCCATTACTGTTGACTGAACTTCGTTTTCAGAGGTAGCAGGAGTATTTCATTAATTTCTGAAGTTTTAACAAAATCAAATCTTTAAGTCACAGCACCAGTTCCTTTATAATTTTTTTTTCACTAAGAGGCTTCATTTCCCCATGTGTGGTTTATGTGACTTCAGCAGTAGCTTTTCATCCCTCTGCCCTCAATAACCATTTCAAAAGGAAGCCACATATGTTCGTTGATTAGCTGAGTTATATGAAAGATAAGTGACTTGGAATTAGGTAGCTAAGGCTTCGGTGCCTGGAGGAATTCAATCAGGTTTATGTCACCATAATGCAGCATGCAATTTCATTTTAAATTTGCTGTACCTGTAATAAACAAAGTTTAAAATTTCAAAGATGTCTTTGTTTACCACAGCTAGAAAATTTAAGACAATCTGCCTCCTCCTGCATGTCCTCACATTACTTGGACACAGTCACCCTTGGATGAACTTCACCAAACCATAAATGACTTGGTACTGTACAGAATAACAAGCCTATTGTGCGTGAACTGTGGATGCCGGCAGCTGAATGGATCTTTTGTTGCTGTAAATACAGGTAGCATTACAATATTACATTTAATTTGACTTCCACAGATGTTTCTGATGAAAATGTGATAATGTAACCATTCTAACAGAAAATAGGATTTCACAGAGCTGAAAAAGCCCAGAAAAATATCTAGTGCAGTCACCTAGAAGATCTTCCACAGCAGCAGGGAGGAGGGAGAACCTCAGCATTGGGGGCCAAATGCAATCTTCCAGGCCTCTGGATCTGGCCCTCAGGATTCTCCGTCGGCCAACTCCTCTACTGTGCCATGCCCCCTCCCCCAACTGCCACTGCCCCAATTCTATGGGCATACCAGTAGGGGGTTGTGGGGAAAGTGGATGCGGTCTGCTACATGCCACACTCCATCCAGGCAAGCAAGAGGTACGATTCACAGCTCAAGACAAAAAACACTCAGGATGTGTAGCTGGGCGAGAAAGGGGTGTGGCCTGAGCCTGAGGTTCTCCACCCTATCCTATAAGACTTGAGAGGATCCAGCGGTAGACAAGCTGCTGTTATAACATCACAACTTTGCATACTGAAGTGCCATCTGGGGAGTTCCAGGTGGAATCTACACACATATAAAAAACGCTGTGAAAATACTTTTTTTTTAAAAAAAATTGAAAAATACATTGAATTTGCCATAGCTCACGGTCACCATCTAGTGTCACATTTGTACACTGCACTTTACAACACATTTGAAACGTTTTATTTGCCGCTGTGTAGCTGAGTACCCAATAAAGCTCATTTTAGAATTAATATTTTGAAGCATTGCCTATCAAAACTTTTTATGGGATGTTCTTTAAGAGAGAGAGAGAGAGAGAGAGAGAGAGAGAGAGAGAAGTTGCTGCTCTATTGTGGAATCTTCTAGAAGAGGGAAGTTTTTAAGAACTGCGGTACTGCATGGAAGTTATAATGATCTGAAATATACAAGTGGCTTCAAGAGATTTAACGGAGTGTAATGTGGGTCTTGTAAATCTAGTAAAAAGACGGACCTTTGTAACAGTTCCAAGATTTATTAATGCTAGGAAATTGTTTTGTGGGTTCTTTAAACCATGGGATGTCACATTTAATTGGGTTTACTGTTTTTATTTTGTGCTGCAGCTATTATAGAAGGACCTGAACAGTGTGATGGATGGTTAATTTCCTACAAGATGATTGTTGAGGTTCAGACCTACTTGGAAACACAGATTTATACATGGCTATTGGGGGTGGGTGAGTTTGGCAGGGATAAGGGGAAAGCACTTAGAAAGAAACACAGAACACAGGTTATAGGGCTTGGTGTGGTTCAGATGCAGCTATGGCTCATTGCTAAAAACCTGCTGTTGCAGATTATGGCTCCATCCTGAAACCTACTGTAGCAATTATGAATCCCTGAGATGTGCTGCACTTGTATACTGATGGGGAATGCACTGATGATATGTCAGGACATTGCACTTTGGGGTAGGGATATTTAGGATTGTGAGCTTTTTGAAGTTTAAACAGATAACGACCATGAAAAAACCAACACACTGACCTGGCCAGTGCCATTGTGCCTAAGCAGCTCTACAATATGGAGTTAAACATTATTACTCACTTACAGATGCAGATCAAACTGCTGTTGCATAGCAAACCTAGGACATCACAATGTTAGTTCAGCAAAAAATATATATTAAATATTTAGTATTAGAGCACTGGAAAGCAATGTGCTCTCCTGCATACTTGATGGCACTTCCTCATTCTGCATTCCAGAATTGGAAAGCTTATCAAACTTCTCAGAGGCAACCAAATGGGATTGGTGGATTGTGTTCAGCTTGGAGCCTGATATCCTGCCAGTTGACTCTGGAATAAGTGTGCACAGGAGTATGGCAGCTCTAACAGGCCAAAGGTTGTGAGCATAAAACTTATCTAGACCATAGTCTTTGTACCAAGAATATTGCTACCAATTAATGACCGCTCCCCACCACAAATGGGGGGCGCTTTTTGTGGAGTCGCGCACAACCACCTGATCCTACACAATCCCTGGCAGTTCAGCCTGACTTCGCCTCCCCAAGCTGGATACCTGTAGGTTCCCGCCTAACCTCACACAGTTAGCCAATCCCATCCGGGGAGGTGTTGCCAGGAGAGTTGACCAGTTAGGGTTAGGACCGCCCTGCACACACAATAGAGGGTGGAACTTACCTGGGAGTCCTCAATTGGCTCCAGAGCTTCTCCCACCCTGCCCTCCCTCAGTTTACGCCTTTCATTGGCAGCTTAAGCTCTTCTTTACAGGTATGTGGGCGCTGCTACGGACATCGATGGTTGCTGTTGAGGGACAGGGAAGGAATTTCCCTGCATTGGCAGGTTTTGTCTTCTCCGTAGCAAAAACGTCACAACTTTGGCAGTTTCAGGCCTTGGGCAGAATCCTTTAGTCTACCTTCCCTAAACGGGGGGGGGGGGGCATGAAGCAGTGACCCATGCCCCCCTGCAGCGG